TAACCCAAATTCCGGGGGTTTCCAGAAATCTTGACCTGCACCAAAAGTGGGCACTGCCCTACCTATAGGAGAAGTTCGGTATCATTGGTGTGTATATTTGTTTGGTCATAGAGAAAACTCTCCTCGTCTTTTAAAGAAACTAAAAGAGGGTCCAAAAAGTTTCCTTCGATTTTCTCAAAACAGCATTTTTCGGGATAGCCCCCTTGTGCTTAAAAGCGACGAAATATATAAGTGTCTGAGTTGTTTAAATAAAACACACCAGCACGGGGTGCAACTCCCTATAACGCTTGTTTCTATTAATTCATTTCCTTCCTTAGGAGGGCAGGGGATGGGTGAGAGGGGGTGACATACCAAATACCAACCAAACGATTAATGGCAGGTCATAGGCTCAGAAATGAAAAAAGATACTTTCAATGCGCACACACACACACACACACACACACACACACACACACACACACACACACACACACACACACACATACATACATACATACAGTGTGCGTAAAATAGAGACAGACAGACAGACGACATACAGAGGAAGTTGAAGCAGAGAGGAATAGAAGCAAAGACACAAAGTGACAGAGACAGGGAGGAAAAGCAGACTGGGGTGAGTAAGAGACGAGAAAAGAAGAGAACACTAAAAAAGAGCTGCATCTGTGACTCATTCTGTGAATAAGCACAAGCTAAAGCCGAAGCTGAAGGAAGGAAGAGAGCGCTACATGCAGAATAAAAGGAGAAATGCGAGGTGTGCATTATTTTTTTCAATTGCTGTTTTGCGTTGTTCATGTGTTCATTTTGTTGGAACGGCACATACAGACACAAACGCACAACGTACGGACGCACGTACGCACACGCACGCACACATACATACACACACGTCACACACACACACACACACACACACACACACACACACACACACACACACACACACTCACTCACTCTTCCACTAACTCACTCCTACATTGATGTCTTGCTCACTCACCTTAATCACTTGCATCTTCAGTGTTCAGTCATTATGTTGTTTTTCTCTTGTCACTACACGTTCGGATGCGTTCAGCTGAAACGAAAAAAAAAAAGAAGTGGTGACAATAAAAATAACATAAATGGTCGCCTTTAAGGACAAGCGGGCTAACCCAAATTCCGGGGGTTTCCAGAAATCTTGACCTGCACCAAAAGTGGGCACTGCCCTACCTATAGGAGAAGTTCGGTATCATTGGTGTGTATATTTGTTTGGTCATAGAGAAAACTCTCCTCGTCTTTTAAAGAAACTAAAAGAGGGTCCAAAAAG